GAAGTGGGTGAGAAAGTATTTCTCAAAGTGTCACCATGGAAAGGGGTGATGAGATTTGGTAAAAAAGGGAAACTTGCACCTCGGTATATTGGTCCCTATGAAATCACAGAGAAGATTGGACCAGTGGCTTATAAGTTGGCATTGCCTCCAGAACTATCTCAAATCCACAATGTATTTCATGTTAGTATGCTGAAGAGGTACAAAGTGGATCCTTCCCATGTTATACAACCAGAAGAGATCGAGTTGGGTTCAGATTTGACATTTGAAGAGGTTCCAGTTGAGATTGTTGATTACCAGATTAAGACTCTTCGCAGGAAAGAAATTCCAATGTTGAAGGTTGTGTGGAGAAATCAAGAAAGTGAGAGTGCTACCTGGGAGACTGAGGCAAGTATGCGAGAGAAGTACCCTGAGTTGGTAGCAACATACTTTGCAGGTTAACAATCTTGCTTAATAAGTTATATTTTGAACTTGCTGATGTGCTTTTGTTGTGATAGCCCAGTATAGGTTTTGAAACCTAAACATGGGAACTTGAGGTGTTATGTGTTACTTTCTATGTTATGAATTGCCTAACCTAAGAGTTAGGTAATGACTTTATGTATGATAGATCAGGTTAAGGGTAAGTAAGAGGAGTTAGAGTACGACTCAAGGTTAGATTTCGGGGACGAAATCTTTTAAGGAGGGGAGAATTGTAACATCCCGTTTCAGCTAAAATCGTATTTCGATCGCTAGAAAGTTCGCGATTTAAAATCGAGCATTTCGACAGTATTTCGGCGAAAATCGGATTATCGATCGATCGGATAAGTATACGTATTAATTATATATATAATATTATATATATATATATATATATATATTACATAAAGCGGACGGCCGCATATATATCTAATTCCCCATCATCTTTTTCCATTTTCTCCACCGAGAAAGAACCGAGGGAACAGAACGACAACAGTCGCGCACAGGGGAGCTCGGGGAAAATTTCCGTAGCTCGATTCTTGAGCTACACTGATCCAAAAATCCCGTAAGTAATGCCTAATTCATCTATACATCGTGATTTATCGATTTAGAGCTTTAAAACGAGTTTTTGGTTCAGGAATTTCTTGAATTCCCGATAAGCCAAATTAGGGTTTCGGAGTAACCGGAAGCCGGATTGAGCCCAAATTTCATATACGAGCTTCTTGCAGCGAGGTAATCAATCCTCTAGTTCTAATTCATGAATTTCAGCAATTATTTAGGTCGGGGTCCGAATCGCTGAATTTAGCTCCGGCCAGGGTTTGATGTGTTTTTATCGAGAATTTGACCCGGAGCCTAGAACTAATATTGACGGGGATACTGCAGGGGATATTAGGACGGTCTCGGATTTTAATTCGGAGTTCGTTCTAGAAATTGACGTTTTAGTACGGGAAGGTTAAACCGGTGTTTGAACGACCAGAACTGGTGAGGGATTGGCACGGCATACCGGGTTTGTCGTATCACGATAATTATATTGATTCTTAGAATTGATCTAGGTGAACTAGAATGGCATGATTAGGGGTGTATGAGCTTTTGTGCTATATGTTGAACCCTGGATTGCTGTATGATATTATTGACTTGCCCTAATCGATATGAACCTTGTTTATGCTGATGATTGCATACATGTTGCCATTTGTGGCTTAACTGTTGATATGAATTCATGGTTGTTCGATAAGGGGTTTTGACATGGTGTGATATTATGGTTGTATTTGGATCCATAAGTGGGGGAATAAACTTCCCAAGGTGATATTATGATGTTTTAAGGAGGATGACTTGCACGAGGGTTTATCCCGAGGAAGTGCAATTATACGACTCCTGATTTACCTATGTTGAGCCAATGGTGGCCTGGTCAAGTACATGTGCAAGTAATGAATTATGATTAAGCAAGATGAGATATGAATCATGTACAAGGATACCAAATATGAGTGTTGTGGTCTCACGGTCAATTACATAGTAATTAGGGCTCCCTATGCTATTACTCTATTATGATATGTATGATAGTCACACCTCTCATGTGGTGGTGACTGAAGAATTCTTATGAGATATGACCACACCCAGAGTGGTGTCGGGGTATGACTACACCCATAGTGGTGTGGGGTATGTATGACCACATCCGACGGGATGTTGGGGTATGTATGACTACATCCGACGGGATGTGGGGTATGTTTCCCGGGAGAGTTATTAGCATGGGAGTAGCCAGGCGCCTATAAGTAAAACATGATAAGATGCATATGCATAAGTCAAAGTGGTTGAGTCTTTTGCTTATTGGGATATGAGGATGGCTGAGGTCCGATCCTAGTGTTTTGGCTTGTCTGCTAGATGTATGGTAGGGGTATGCTCTGTTATGAACTCACTATGCGATGATTATCTCACTCAGCTATGAGCTGACCCTCTTTTATTCTTCTTCTCTGCTTATGCTATGTGTAAGCAGATCATCAGCAGCAGCAGTAGATAAGTGTTAGGTGGGAGAGGAGCTAGAGTTGAAGCCAGGATGAGTTATGGTCTTCAACTATTCTGTGCTTGGACTACTACTCGGGATTTTGGCCAGTGATCCACACCTTTTTGTAAAAAAATGTTTTGAGAACGTTTTTCATGTGCATACTAGCTTCTGATGTAGTGTGAGATATCCACGGGTGTGGAAAGTTAATGATATGTGTATATGTTGTGTAACTGTGTAAGTTGTGACGATTATGGTATGTATAAGTATGGTATGCGGTTAGGAAGTATGAAAAGTGTAACTATGGCTAAGAAAAGCCAATGCATATGGTTGTGAGTATATATGTTTGTGATGAATTATTTTGCAGGATAAGTTGCAAGAACTGTTAGCCCATTACGCAAGCAATTCATGTCGAAATTTTATTTGGGTAAATTTTGATAATTAATGTAACGCCCGAGATTATTTCCGCTGCAATTGTATGAATAATATGATTAGGTAATACGTATAGGGTAGGGTGTTACATGAGCGTTCTCAGAAACAATATCAAACATGCTTCATATTTTCTTAAAGAACACAAATTTTCACATATGCATGACAATAGTTTACCTAACACATGTTAGTTAACATATTCTCAAATCCTCCCACGCTAATGAAATGAAATATAAATTGCGCAAATCGTCAAAAAAACAATCACAAGAGTAATACTACTACAAGAAACACATGATATTTGATTATCCTTAAACTCCAAACATGTCATTCAAATCCTTGTGATTTTTTTAAACATCTCACCAATTTATGAGTGATATTATCATATTTTGTGAGTAATATATTAAATGGAACGGGTCTAACGGGTCGACCCACTAACCCACCCAACCCGACCCAAAAAATCACGGGTTATCGAGTTCGGGTCATTCGGATTTCGAGTTACAAAAAATTATAGTTTTCGAGCGATTTCGAATCAGGTTGTAATTTGCTAGGTCTACTCCGAAACTACAATTGCACACCAAAACTCTAGCAAAACTTTTTGTTGGGCCCTTAATTGAGACCCAAATTCTCGCCCAATTAGGTCCCTCTGCCAGTCATCAGGCACAACACAGTCGACCCATTATACAGATCTCAGAAGTGGACCTTGCAGCCTGTGCGCCAGTCCAAGTCCAGGTAACCAAGCCTAACATAATCGGCCTGTGACATAGATTTCTTAGGTGAATCTTCTTCGCCGTCGTGAGCCCCTGACTATGTCAACGGTCGGTGTTGCGCCAGATCAGTGGGGTGATATCACCGCCGGCAAGACTCTGCCTACGGTATGGTTGTGTTGGGGTCAATATAGTCAAAATCGTGCTAAAAAGATTAAAAATTACGGTTTTACGTTTCTAGATTACTAAATCGATTCTACGCATAATCGCAGTTTTTATAACTAATGTAGTTAAAAGTTGCGCTTTAAAGCTTAAAAACTTACGATTTTACACTTCTAGATCATCAAAACACTTCTACTTACAGACGCGCTTTTGACTACACTGGCTGGGGTGCTGGTGACAAAAAAGATGGAGTATTAATTACGGGGTTAATTGTAAGGTTGATCACTGTGATTACTAAAAACGTTCATGTTTGGTCACTCGAAATATTTAATTATGTTCATAGTCACTAGAATCAATCAAACAGTCCAACTCTCCGTTAGTCTCCGTCCGGCTCTGTTAACTCAGTCCGTTATTTGCTGATGTGGCTAACAGAAGTGCCTAATCAGCCAATTTTAACCCCATAAAAATAAAACCCGACTCGCCACGTCATTAAAATCAACCCAACCCATGACCCAACCATTTCTATCTTCTTCTTTATTTGACCTGACCGACCCGAACCTTCTTTCTCCTTCATTCTTCATCTTCCATTCTTCCCCATCTTTGTCTCCAAATCCGGACCGGCCACCTCTGATCAAAATAAAAAAAACATGATTTTGGGTTAACAAAAGATCTTATTTTCATCATCCTTCTTCCCCATATCAAGTTTCCCCTCATTTCAAAAGATCCATCCCCAAAACAGAAGTCGAGAAGCCAAGAATGGGAAAGGGAAGTAGTATATGAGGGCTAAATTACACGTTTGGTCACTCAAATTACATAAATCTTTCACGTTTGCCATTCAAATTACTTTTCTTTCTTATTTGCCACTAACTTTACGAATTGTTTCACCGTTAGTCACCGGCCGTTAGTTTCCGTCAGACTCCGTTAACCCCGTCAAATTTTTTGATGACGTGGCAAACAAAATGGTAGAATTGGCTGTCAAGTTGATGAGTCACGCAATTTGACCGTGGGCCAGCTTGGTGACTTGGAATCTGACCTCTATATAGGACAAGGTCTCGCCCAAATCTGAGTCGACGAGGGAGGCGAAATCGGGAGATGAGGTGACGGCAGGAGAGCTAAAGAGGAAGGAGGTCAGTGAGATGTCTGGGTCAGTCGCGAAATGACCGGCGGTCTAGGAGAGGAGTAGATCTCAGTGGCGGCGCAGGGGCTAATGAGATTGTTGAGGAGGGCAAGTGAGATAAAGTGAAGGGGTAGAGCAGGCGATGGAGGATAGTGAGGTGGCTTTTAGAGACGATTTCTACACGGCGGAGGCAATTGCTTCTGCACCGAAAGCTAAGGGAAAAGAGAAAGCGGTGTCGAATCCACGAACTGAGGCAAACGTAGGGCTCAAGCAGCAGACTGCCCTTCCGTACGGGGGCGATTGCCCGAAGCATTCCAATCGTCGTATTTCTGCTTCCTCGCAATCGCCTCCCCCAATGATGCGCGACTACTTGCAACCTGGCGTACACAATCGGCGAAATCTCCAACCAGCGATTCCAGTCTGAAACAAATCGTCATCGTCCCTGAACTCGTCGACTAGATCACTGGTTTCAATTTGCCACTGATTCTGCTGAATGATTCTCTGGATTGCCGAATTCGATGCGACGGGGACAGTTTGGCGGTACTCGGAACTAGTTAGCCAGAGTGGGAGAAGCGTGCGTAGTCGATGGACAACAGGTGAATATTCCTGTACTACCCCTTGTTGGTCCCGAGGGACGGAGGAGGCTAGGTTAGCCGAAAGATGGTTATCGGGAACCAGAGTTGCTAGAGGTAGAGGTGAAGCGAAGTAGTGTGACAACTCTTTTCTACTCGTCGGGGACGGGAGGGAAGAGCAAGGAGATGCTGTCGAGCCCTCTTGTCTCCCTAGTCTTGTTTGCCGGCAGAAGGTAGAAGAAGCAAGGGGGGAAATCTCAAAGGGTTATTGCTGGGTTGGGTTTTGTTTAATAGTTCTTTAGTTTTTTTGTATGTTTATTTGGTTGGGTATTGTGGTTGTGGCTGACTAGGTGATCAATTGCATGACTCATCAACTTGACAGCCAATTCAACAAGTATGTTTGCCACGTCATCAAAAATTGATGGTGTTAATGGACTTTGACGGAGACTAATGTTCAGTGACTAACGGTGAAACGGTTCGTAAAGTTAGTGGCGAATAATAAAGAAAAGTAATTTGAGTGACAAACGTGAAAGATTTATGTAATTTGAGTGACTAAACGTGTAATTTAGCCAGTATATGAGGCTTGATGTCTTATATTTGGGCTTTCAGGTTCTGATGGGCAGTCTCTTGGCGACGGATTTTGCTGGGAAATATGAAGAAGAGGAGAAGGGGTTTCGCAAGGGTGGAGGATTTGGCGGTGGATTTGGTGTTGGAGTCGGCGGCGGGGGTGGTGTAGGTGGCGGCAGAGGGTTTAGCAGTGGTGGCGGATTATGAGGCGGAGGTGGAGCAGATCTCAGGAAGCCAAGAGGAATTTGTTTCCTCCATCGTTGATTCTTCTTCTGTCGTCCCTTTCATGGTTCCTTCTTCTTCTTTCCTGTTCTCAAACATCGGTGATTCGTTACAACTCCGCCATCTGCATGGCGGCATCCGAAGGACTTGATGCGAAAAAGTGGTTGGGGAAAGTTAAGAAGAGAGTGAATTTCCTGCAACCCATTAAAGAGGGAGTGGGGAGCTGAAAAGGGCTATCAGCAATCCATTATTGAGGAAATTGAAGAATCCAGTCTGCCACTTCACAACTATGGAGAAGCACAAGTCGGCGGTAAATGCGATGGCACTGAGCGCCGACGGTTCGGTGTTGCACTCTGACGCATGTGACCGGTCTGTTCTGGAGTAGGAGAAGGATTGGTTGGTCGGCAAATAATAGAGCAAGGATTTGGCGGAGGGGAATCTGTATGGAGTTGTTTTCATAGTTGAGTGGCATTTTTGGAATGCCATCAGAAACCGGTGAAGTGGATTTGAGGAAGAGGAACAGAGTGGTTGTAGATCTGACATTCAATTTGGCTTGGGCGAGGAAGAGGAACGGACTGGTGGTGGATTTGAGGATGACGCCGACAGTAGAGGGTTAGGGAACGAGTTGGTGATTGTGTTGTTGTTGTTGCTGGAGAGGCGATGGCGACGACGGTGCAGAGAGAGTGCTGGTGGTGGGTGGTGGTTTTGATTTGGTTTGGGAGAAATTCCTGGAAGATTGAAGAAGAGGGTCGGGTAAAATGTGGTTAGGTTGGGTGATTGATGACATGACAAGTTTTCTCACGTGGTGGGTTGGTTGTTTGTTTGTTTGTTAAATTTGGGTGAATCATCACTTTTGTTAGCCACGTCACCAAAATATGAACGGTGTTAACATAAACTGGCGGAGACTAACGGAGAGTGACCAAATATGACATGTTTGATTAATTCTAGTGACTATGAACGAAAATAAATATTTCGAATGACCAAACATAAACATTTTTAGTAATCACAGTGACCAACCTAGCAATTAACCCATTAATTACGTAAAGATTCCGGTTGGAACCCGATTTGATTGAGTGTTTCCTTCCGTGGATGAAATGGAACTCTCAATCAAACATGATAAGACCGGGAAATTGACTACTTGTACACCAAATCAAATATGAATATATCAATCAATACAGGTGAGAGCGACATTGTCGGGATAGGATTTACTCTTTTCATTTATTCATACGGATGATCTGGTCTGTGATTTTTTGTCATATTCCTAATTTTGATTGAATTTGTTGTCAGGCTCTGGCCCCGTCACTTGAAAAAATAATTGGTGAAGGCCCTATTTTCCGCATATTCTTTATGCTACAAGCTTTGAAGTTTGATCCAGTGCTGGAATGGAGATGGCAGGTTGGGTAAGTATTTCAATATTTATATTTGTTTTGTGGTGATCCGATTTATGTTGGGTTTTTTATTTTGGGAAATGGGTTGAAATGGATCTACCCATACAAATATGTATTTTAACAGAAAAGAAGCAAACTATAACATGGTAGATGTAGTTAGATTTTTTTGAGAAATAGAAACTTTTAACTATTTATAACCTAATTTTATTATAAACAAAATATGATGTAGTAAATTTAAAATTATAAGTATTTTGAATAAAGTTACAAGTAATTTAGACAAAAAGGGTGAAGAATGGAGCGGGTCGGGTCAGGTCGAAGAAAGTACTCATGTTTGCCAAGCATACAATACGGGTATTACCCGGCCCAAAACAGGTTTAACAAATCAGGTAAGACGGGTGAAGTCAAAATTCTCATCCCTATTTTAGGGGGTGTTATGTTAAAGCTATACCCTTATGTATAACTAGTTTTTTGTCCCTAATTCGTCATAATAAAAACTAATGATATATAATACTTCACCCACTTTTAACTATTTAGTTGAAATCTAATAGTTCATAATATTTTTTGGGTAAACTACTCTCACAAAATTTATGTAGTGTCATAATTATTACTAAATACATACAACGTTTATTCAATTGCAAATGAAAACTAAGAGAAGTTGATCATCTCTCTAGCATGCGTCATTTCACTTTGCACCAAATAAGTATAATAGAGCTGCTCATCTTGACAAAACAATACTTCTTATCGATTAGATTAACATCTTATTAACCATTATACTTTACTCTTTTTTAACTAATCTACAACAATCTTATAATTATATATTTGTATAATTGTATGATTGTATCTTGCTTTTCCCCCTCCAATCCGAAATATATATGAAAAACACTCTATCTTCATTTCAGCAGCCCCAAAAAGGAATATAAAGTTCCAGACAAAAGAGAACAGCAATAATAAACAATGGAAGTGTGACAAAGTGAGGAAAAGCTGTAAACGTGCCAACTTGATCCAAATGCCACCATTATCCAATTCATTCATTCAGCAGCCGGTCGCCATTGAATAATGAATTTGTAGAGACTTTGGACGATTGCAGATCTTGACTGAGAAAAGAACCCTTCATCATAATTCCTCGCCACCTATATATGAATCAAGAAAACCACTACCAAATCCCATTCCAAAACAGAGCAAGCAACTCTATCGAAAAACAATGCTCTCCCCGCTCAAAATGTCGCCAGCCATATTCCTCTGCATCTCCTTGTTGTCCCTCTCCATCTTCCCTTCCACTCCCCAAGCCACCGTCCCTCCCTCCGCCCGATTCTCCTTCACCAACGAAGGCGATTTCGGCGACTACATCGTCGAATACAACGCGAACTACCGCGTTCTGTCCATCGCCACCACCCCATTCCAGCTCTGCTTCTACAACACCACTCCAGGGCAGTACACCTTGGCCCTGCGCATGGGAACCGTGAGGTCGGAAGCCTTGATGCGGTGGGTTTGGGAGGCCAATCGTGGCAACCCAGTTGGCGAAAATGCCACTTTCTCCCTCGGCGCGAATGGAAACCTCGTCTTAGCACATTCCGACGGTCGAATCGCTTGGCAATCGAACACCGCCGACAAGGGCGTGGTTGAGTTCGAGCTGCTCAACAATGGGAACATGGTGCTCAAAGATTCCAAAGGCAGATTCGTCTGGCAGAGCTTCGATTCACCCACCGACACCCTCTTGGTGGGCCAGTCGCTCCGAATCGGATCCCCGTCGAAGCTAATCAGCCGAACATCGCCTGAAGAGAACAAGAACGGAGAGTACAGTTTGGTTCTGGAACCCAGAGACCTAGCTATGTATTTCACTGGGGCAAAAAGTCGAACACCTTATCGGTACTTCTCATTCCTCGCAGCAAACCGCCTCTTCCTCCCAAACAACACCACTTTAATCAACACCACCTTCAACGCGAACCTGGGTTTCGACACACAAGTCACCAACGACGGCGCCGGAGGCGGAGGGACGTTCCTGAAAAACCCACGGTTCAACACCACTCTGTCGTACCTCCGCCTCGAAATCGACGGCAACCTCAGGGTCCACACGTTCATAATCAGCACCGATTCCGACGGGTTCCAGACCCAGCTGTGGGAAATCGCGGTGACCATATTCTCCGAAGACGATCTGTGGGCTCTGGAGACGAAATGCCAGCTGCCGGGTCGGTGCGGCGAGTTCGGAGTCTGCGAGGACAGCCAGTGCGTCGGGTGCCCGAGTCCGAACGGGCTGGCGGGTTGGAGCAGAGATTGCAAGGCGCCGAAGTTGAACGACTGCGGCGGGAAGAAGAAGAGCGACTTTAAGTACTTCGAGCTGAAAGGGGTTGATCACTTTGTGGCCAAGTATACGAGAGGTGATGCGCCGGTGAAGCAGCAATCCTGCGCCGACAAGTGTAGCAAAGATTGCAAGTGCTTGGGCTATTTTTACCACAGTGATGCGTCGAGGTGCTGGATTGCTTACGAGCTGAAGACGATGACCAGGGTCGCGAATTCGACCCATCTGGCTTTTATTAAGGCGCCGCTTCTGTAGATCAGTGAAATTTGCTTGGCCAATGGCCAATTTCGTTTTTTTACTCTTTTGTGCCAAAAGTCAAAAGTGGAATAAATAAAGTTGACCTTTTGGGAAGTTGTCACCCCGGTTAACAGATTTGAGTTTTGGAAGTTATGATTCTAGATGAATGATTTTTGTAATTTAAGTATTCTGGATAATTCATCGTTTTTTTTTCCAAAACTTTATTCAATACATGCATTTGAGGTGGATCCTCAAATCTCATATCACCCACAATCACTCATTTTAAATCTCAACAAAAAAGTGAGATTCTTTCTTTGAGATTGTTGGCTTTGATTTGTTCCACTTTTAGCTCATAAAGTGATTTTTTCTTTTCTTTAAAAATTTTGAATGGCTACAACCAAACAAGACATTCTTTCAATCATCTAATTCTTACAATTTTTGTATTTACAATAGATGTTTTCATAAAATACACATATTTGAAGAATCTCAACTTTCAAACGACCTCCAAGTCTCTTGTCAAGTTTGGGTAACAAAAACATCTAATTCCCCCATTTTTTCATGTCATATTATCATTGTTTACGATATATTGGCGTTATTCACGTAAGAGTGTTGCTTATTCACACAGCCAATATTGTTTAGTCACGCAACCTGGTATTTTTCACGCATATTATTATTTATTCACGCCATTGTAAAATTAAATTTTAAACTTTGAAATATATAAAAATGGATTTCATTGTGCAGATTATGATCAATGCAATATATTTTTACAAATTAATTGAGAATCCAAATTTAATTTCATAAAATATAGCCAATACAAATTATTAGGAGAAAAAAGTATGAATTTTCATTTATGTTAATAACTTACACTCTTACTTGAATAAACATAATATTACGTAAATACGCACTAAATGGAATGAATGAGCACAAAAATGCGTGAATAAACTTGTATTAGGTGTTTTGTCACCTAACATGACACAAGAGAACTTTTCCTAAACAAATTTGGTTGGTAAGAGTGAGTGAGTGAGTGAAAACTAAAAAGAACGTATTCAAACTATTTCATTGTACTTATATTACCTGGCCACAAAAATAAACTATTGAACTTCAATCTGATAAATATGAATATGGCAAAAAGAAAAAAAATCTGACAAATACGAAGCTTGTGTAGTATTTGTTTTTTTACAAAGGGTTAATATCTTATTCTGGCCCGAATTATGATCATATAATCAATTTTGGCCTGTGGTTTCACAAATTAACATTCTGACCTCAACTATGCAGCATATATACTCAATTGGCCGGACGCTTGAATTTCTGTCAAATTAAACGGTCAACACAATTGACCGTTAATGAATTAGCATTTAGTGCTGACGTGGATGCCATGTAGATAATATAAATTAATAAAATATTAATTATTTAATGAAATTAATAAAATAAACCAACAAAGTCTTCCTCTTGATAATAAAAAAAGTCATCCTACCCTTCCCTTCCCTTCCAGCCGATTAAAGGAAGAAAAGAGCCCCACACACTAAACCCTAATCCCCAAATCCAAAATCCCACACACCAACAATTCTTCTTGTCTTACAACTCTCCGACTCGCTTTCAATTTCACCTCTACAACCAATCGAAATAACTTTTGCTCCTCTATCCCCTCTTTCTCGCTCGTCGGGTTTGTTGATTGCTTCCCTGAATTCGATAAGAACGAGAAAGAAGGAGACGATGGCGAGACTTGGTCTGGAACCGCGACAATAGCGGCGAATCTCCAACCGCCGGAGTGTCCGCGACCTCGAGCTTTTTCTGGCGCGTTTGTGTGCATCGCCGCCACACATCAGCCAGTGTAAGAGAAGCATGACGGAGATCTACATGATTTCGATGTCTCTGAGCGCTAGGTGTACGTTTCGTATGGCTGGCAGCAGGAACAAGATCGGGGAAGGCCGAGGCTGTTCTTTGGTGAATGAGAGAGAGAGAGAGAGAGAGAGGGTGAAGAGCAAACCTAGATCCCTCAACCCTAATCGAAGGTCAAGCAAGGGCGGAGGAACTATTCTGGCAGAGAGTCCGGCGCTGCTACGGCGACCGCGGCAGAGAAGGACAACATTGTTTAGGAGATTGTGGGGTGGGAGACGGCGACGAAAAGAGAGATAAGAGAGAGACGGTGGGGTTATGGTGGTGGTGGTGTTCGGCGAGAGGTGGGAAGGCGGATGGTTGGTACGACCACATATTTTTGTAATTTATTTGTTTATTTTCAATATTATGAAAGTTAAAAATAAATTATTTTTATTAATTTATTTGATATTTTATTAATTTTTAATGTCTATATGGCATCCACATTAGCAAAGCATGCTGATTCACTAACGGTCAACTTTTAATTTGACGGAATTTTACATGTGAGGCCAAATTAGTTTGTATGGTGTATAATTGAGGCCATGATAGCATTTTCTAAAATCATTGGCCAAAATTAATTATATAGGTATAATTCAGGACAAAATAAGGTATTAACCCTTTTACAAATACGAGAAGCTTGTTTTGTAATTTACAGAGTTGATATGTATATAACCTGTGTGACCATCTGAATAGAGATATTTCACAATTGTACTTGTCTACGTATTTTTTTTTAATATATTATTAGAGTTTTGCTTGTTCGACTAACTATACCAATCGAATACTAGGCTTCGATTAGGGATGGCAATGGGTCGGGTTGGGGCGGGTTTTGTCAAACCCAAACCCAAACCCATGGGTTTATCCGCCAAAAAAATCCGGGGTAAAACCCGTTGGGTTTGAAAAACTCAAACCCAACTCAACCCGCTGGGTATCCGCGGGTTCATGGGTACCCGTGGGTTTTTGTGGTAAAAATTTACAATAACAAGTTTCTTTCAAAATAAAAGTTTTAACATCAATTTTCTCATATAAATTAATCATACAAAAAACACCAATGTAGAGCATACAAGCAAACCGCAAATGATCAATACAAATTGTTCAAAATTAAAGATAAACATATATAAACAATAAGATTAATTGAAAGCTTCTTCCTCGTCAACTAATTTTCTTCACTCTCCACTTCATAATATCAACTTCATTCTAAACAATTAGAAAGAACAAATTATACATGTCTCCACAAACATATAGAATATTAGTTATTTAAGGAAGATATATTATTTATAATATTAAATATACCGAGAAAGTAATTATATGTGTGTGGGCGGGTACCCATGGGGCGGGTTTACCTAAACCCAAACCCAACCCGACCCGGTGAATAGTGTAGCGGGTTTAAACCCGAACCCGGCCCAAAACGCGTCAACACGGGTTGGGTCGGATGGGTACCCGTGGGTTCGGGTTTTGTTGCCATCCCTAGCTTCGATGCCACCATTTCTTTTGATTTGCTTATTTGAAAATTGATGCTATCTGCTCCACCATTGTTGGAAATCGGTACGATATCGGTATCCCAATACTAAATACCGAAATCCTAAATATCGAATTATACCCGAAAGGCAATCCCAATCTCAATCCCTAAATAATTTTGGTATCACAATCTCAATCCCTAAATATTCTGGTATCCCAATCGGTACTCGATATCCCAATCGGTATTATCGAATACATACTTAATTATATTTGAAATAAATAATTACATATATAAATTAGATTTGATTGTTTAATTTAGGGCAGAGAGACTAAGCAAAGAGTTTTGGGTTATCTAGAGCTAGGATATGGATAAGGAGAATGAAGGAGATGTGACATCTCAAGTTTTTGTCATTGTTAATCTTTAATTTGACTAATTGAAGGCCGAGAGTCGACTAATACTAGTGTTTGCTTTTTGATGTTATGAAAATAACAAGTTATTAGGGCTAAGATCTGGTGACTTAGGAGGGGTCCCTTAGTCACATGGCTAAGTGAATCTCAGCCACACAGCCTCATTAAAATCCAAGGGTTCTAATTAATTCAATTTAATGAAGAACAATGTGGTAATTACATGAGTTTATTAATTTTCAATTATTAATTAATTAAAAACTCTATTTTGTTGCGCTACGTCTCTTCCTGGCGGTACCAGACAGTGCCGTAGCTCTTCCGACCGGATATTTTCTCGGCGTACGAGGCGGCTTCCATGGAGAGAGAGGCGCCTCCACTTCCATGCGTCCATTTCCATGCGTTTCCAGAGAGAATTTCCGGGGAACTATATTCCCCCCTCCACTTCGAGAGAGAGATTTTCTGGTCGGAAATTTTTTTTTCGGCGACCATCGTCGACGGAGAAGAATTTTCCGGCGACAGTGCTTTGTGATGTTTGTTGACATATTTGTAATGTGTGTACGCTTTGTTATTTTGTAAGGTTCGTAAACTTTGTTATTTTTGTGCACCATGTTTATAATTTTTGTCAACCATGTTTGTAATGTTTTTTTATGTCTAAAAAACAACCTGGTTGACTTTTGGATGAAACTTCTCTATATAGGGATGGAGCCTCCAAAGTCAACCCGGGTGTTTTTTCCCGTTCGTATGGATTGTCGGTCTAGTTTGTCATTTTTGTCCACCATGTTCGTACTGTTTGTATGTCTAAAAACACCCGGGTTGACTTTGGGAAGGAGCCCCTCTATATAGGGATGGAGCCTCCAAAGTCAACCCGGGTGTTTTTTCCCGTTCGTATGGATTGTCGGTCTAGTTTGTCGTTTTTGTCCACCATGGTCGTACTGTTTGTATGTCTAAAAAACACCCGGGTTGACTTTGGGAAGGAGCCCCTCTATATAGGGATGGAGTCTCCAAAGTCAACTCGGTTGTTTGTTCTTTTTGTATGGTTTGTATTGTTTGTCAGTCTAGTTTGTATTGTTTGTACAGTTAATACGTTTCTAATGTTTGTAAATCTGTTTGTATGTTTTGTCGCTCTAGTTTGTACTGTTCGTATGTTTGTATGGTTTGTACTGATTGTAAATCCGATTTGTATACTTCGTAATTTTTCATAATACCCTAACTACTCCTGTCATTAATTAAATAGCCCTTCCCACTTTTTAACCATTGGATTGAAGTGTCCAGATCTAATGGCTAGGAGGGGCTTAGTCAAGTGACTAAGGACCCCCCCTTAGTCATGGGATCCGCTCTCAAGTTATTAGGTGAGAGTTGAGAGTGACTTAAAT